AATACCTACTTTGAGAGCATGTATTAGAATAAGATGGAAAACAAAGAAAAAATGGATTCCTAGATACCTATAAATTACCAAAGCTGAATCAAGAAGTTGCAAAAATTCTAAATAAATGAATATCAGTTGATGAAATTGATGATGTAATTAAAAACCTAACTCCAAGGGCTAGGGATTTAGCTCAGTGGTGCCACTGCCTGCCTTGCAAGCACAAGGTCCTGAGTTCGATCCCTGGTACAAATAAACAAAAACTATAGCCTTCCTGACACAAATAACAAACTCACTGAGAGAGAAATCAGTGAAACAGTACTTTTCACAATAGCATTACAATGAAATACTTAGGAATCAATCTCTCAAAGAAAGTAAAAGATCTTTACACTGAAAATTACAGTGCTCTGAAAAAGGAGATTGAAGAGGATATCAGAAAATGGAAAAATATTACTTGTTATTGGGTAGAAAGAACCAATATAGTGAAAATGGCCATATTTCCAAAATTGTTATACAAATGCAATGCAATTCCAATCAAAATTCTCTGTTTCTCACAGAACTAGGGAAAACAATCCTAAAATTCATATGAAACCAAAAGAGACCTAGAATAATAGCAAAGGCAATTCTGGGCAACAAAGGCAAGGCAGGGAGCATCACAATCCCTGACTTAAAATTATACTGCAAATCTACTGTGATACTGAAAACAAACAAAAACAAAACCCAGCATGGTACTGGCAAACAAACAAACCCTCCAAAAACAGACCTGAGGATTATTGAAACATATTAGAAGATGCAGAAACAACTCCAAACACACTCAGCCACCTTATCTTTGGCAAAGGAGCCAAACACCTTCACTGGAGGAAAGATACCCTCTCTAATAAATGGTGCTGGGAAAACTGGCTTTCCACATGCCGAAGATTAAATTTAAACCTAAATCTTTTACCGTGTATTAAACTAAAATCAAAATGGATCAAAGATCTAAATATTAAAACAGAAAATATTGAAACTGCTGAAAGAATAGGTAGAACTCCTGAAGACACAGGTGTAGACAAAAACTTTATGAACAAAACCCTGATTACACAGGAAGTATCACAAAGAATCAACGACTGGGATCCCATCTTATTGAAAACTTTTGCACAGCAAAAGAAACTACCATCAGAATGGAGACAACCTACAATGTGGGAAAAAAATGTTGCCAGCTGTTTCTCAAAAGATCAATATCTAGAATATATAAAGAACTCAAATCAGACCACCCAAATTTGAAGACCCAATCCAAAAATGAGCACCACAATAGACACTTCTCAGATGAAGTAGAAATGACAAGTGAATGTATAAAAAATGTTCAACATCACTTGGTCATTCAAGAGTTGCAAATTAAAATAACACTGAGATTCTATCTCACTCCAGAAAGAATGGCTGCTATCAAGAAATCAAGCAGGGGCCGGGGATTTAGCTCAGTGGTGCTGCCACCTGCCTCTCAAGCACGAAGACCTGAGTTCAATCCCTGGTACCAAAAAAAAAAAAAAAAAAAAAAAAAAAAAAAGGGCGGGAAAAAAAAGGGCCGGGGATTCAGCTCAGAGGTTCTGTCACTTCAAAAGCACTAGGTCCCAAGTTCAATCCCTGGTACCAAATTAATTAATTTTTTTGAAAAAAGAAAGAAATCAAGCAATAACAAATGCTGGTGAGGCTGTGGGGGGCAAGGAGCCCTTTCCACTGTTGGTGGGAGTGTAGACTGGTGCAACCATTGTGGAAATCAGCGTGGGGATTCATCAAAACTAAAGCCACAGATTCCATTTGACCCAGTGCTTCCTCTTGGTATCTTCCCGAAATAATTAAAAGCACCCTACCACAGCGATATAGGCACACCCATGTTTATAGCAGCACAGTGTGTAATAGCTAAATGCTGGAAACAGCCCAAATCACATCAATCCCAACAAATGGATAAAGAAGATGTGGGTTTTTTTATGCAATGGAGAACTACTCTGCCATAAAGAAGCATAAGCTTGAGACATTTCTAGCTAAATGGATTGAGACCATACTCTTAAGTGAGATAAACCAGACATATGTATAAATACCACATTGTTTCTCTGGTGTGAGAAACCTAAAGTATAAATAAGGACCAAAATGTATAATAGATATTGGGAAATGGGAAGAAAATGTGTCAGTGATAAAGGAAACAAGGGAACAAAGAGGGAGAAATGAAAGAAGGGACAATAAAAAAGAACAGAATGAAAAACAAAAACAAAGCTTTTGTAAATGAGGGGAAGAGGGGTTGAGGGGAGGGGAGAAGGGAAAATAGAAGCAAGATATATCATGTATAGTGCAAATTCCCTATGATGAATGTGATCATTATGTGTATCTAAAACGTACCAATGACAAAACCCCCAAATTCACCAGAATCATGTTGGACATCCCACTGTCCCCTCTGGCCCTGAAGGAAAGGCTGAAGTGATGAACGACAATGTAAAGCAGTCTTATTGCCCTCTTTCCTCCCCTTGACCCTAGCACACGACAGAAGCGGAGGCTTCCAAGTAGCCAAGTGAGTTCCACTGAAAAGCAGCAGGCAGGAGGACTCAAGGCAGTTGGAATATGACAACTCGGGTTCCTCCAAGAATGACAATCTTTTTTTTTATTTGCTTGTTTTTTGAGACAGGGTGTTGTAGGGCTGGGGATTTGGCTCAGGGGTTCCGCTGTCTGCCTTGCAAGTTCAAAGGCCCGAGTTTGATCCCTGGTACCATAAAAAAAAGAAGAAGAAGAGACAGGGTCTTGTTATGTAGTTCAGGCTGGCCTCAAACTCATGGAGATCCTCCTGCCTCAGCCTCCGGAGATCTGGGATGACAGGCATGCACCACCATGCCCAACTAAGAATGACACACCATGTAGGTTTTCCTTCCCTGCCTCCTCCAGCTGATCTATTCCTTCTCTCTCTGGCCATTTACAACCGCCCCCCCTTCAGCCACCACATGCGACAAGCCCAGCCCCCTCCACGTCCTACTGCAAGCCCTGCCAGCTCCTGTCTGTGCCCTCAGCCCCTCCAAGAAGGGTGTTTCGTCCGCAAACATAGCAGTCCCCACTGTGCATGCGCCCAACACGGGCACACTTGCTGCACAACAGATGTGTGTGCCAGCTGAACCTAAAACACATACATGCATCTTTTCTTTTTTTGGTACCAGGGATCAAACTCAAGACCTTGTGCTTGCGAGGCAGGCAGTGGAACCAATGAGCTAAATCCCCAGCCCACATACATGCTTCTTGTGTGCGGGGCTGAGGAACAACAACAGACCTCACACTGCTAGCCAAGCACTCAACCCCCGAACTACACCTTCAGTCCCACATCTACTTTTTTGTTCTGTTTATTGTTTTTGTTTTGAGACAGGGTCTCACTGTGTAGTTGAAACTGACCTGGAACTCACTATGTGGCCCAGGCTGGTCTTGAACTCACAGCAATCCTCCTGCCTCAGCTTCCCGCCACACCAAGTTTTTTTTTTTTTTTTTGAGACAAGATCTCACTATGTAGTTGAGAATGACCTGGAACTCACTATGTAGCCCAGGCTGGTCTCGAACTCACAGCAATCCTCCTGCCTCAGCTTCCCGCCACACCAAGTTTTTTTTTTTTTTTTTTGTACCAGGGATTGAACTCGGGTCCTTGTGCTTGCAAGGCAGGCCACCGAACCGCTGACCTAAATCCCCAGCCCTAACACCCACTTTTTAATAAATGTTTTAAAATAAATTTCAGGCTATGGTCTAGCCTCAGTGGTAGGGCACTTGCCTAGCATACATAAGGCCCTGAGTTTGATTCCCTGCAACACAAAAAAAGGAAAATGAAAAATAAAAAATAAGCTGGGCACAGTGGCATGTGCTAGTAATTCCAGCACTTAAGAGGCTGAGGCAGGAGGTGGCAAATTTGAGGCGAGCATGGGATACCTAGGACAGCCTGGGTGCAGAGTGAGCCGTTGTCTGGAAAAACAAACAGAAATTTCTCTGTGAACACATTTATTAAAACTGTCATGAAGCCAGCTGTGGTGGTACACACCTGTCATCCCAGCACTCGGGAGGCTGAGGCAGGAGGATCACTAGGAATTCGAGACCAGCCTGGGCTACATAGTGAGTTCAAGGTCAGCCTGAACTACCTAGCAGACCCTGTCTCAAAAAAGAAACAAATTTTTAAAAACTTATGATTTGTTATTCAAAAAATTAGAGATACTACAAATTTTTGTATTCTACCCAAGTCCACAACCACGTCTTAAGCACCCTCTGGAGCAAATACCTCCTACTCTGGGGCCCACTGCTCTCTGCGAACAAGTTCCTCTTACTTTTTTTATCTTATTTACGTATTTAATCTGGAGATGCTGGGAACTGACTGGAGAGGCTAATTCAAGCTAAACAAGTGCTCTATTTGAGATGCACTTCTAGCTCCAAGAGGTCCATTTACTGTGTTTACTTATTTGGGGTTTGTTGTTTATTTTGTTTTGAGACAGGCTCTCGCTTTGTAGCCCTGGCTGGCCTAGAACTTGTGGCGATCCTCCTGCCTCGGCCTCCCGAGTGCTGGGATGACGGGCACATGCCACCACGTCCCTCAAGGTTCATTTTAGAGTAGCGTGCCAGCCGCCCCAGTGCCTTTCCACGCTCTCTCATCACCTTTCTCTCATCCATTTGTCATCTGTTTCCATTCTTTCTCTCCTCCCCTTTCCAATCTGGTCCTTTCCTGCAAGATCCCAGACCGCGATGGAGGTGGCGACCACAGCCGGCCAAAGCCGACCAGGACGCGGAGTATGTGCTGGGACTCAGGAAGCAGGGAGCCGCGTGCTCAACGGCCCTCGTCGCGCTCCGAAGCGTCATTTCCGGTCGCGACCGTCCGGGCGGCCCGAGGTGAGTGGACCGCGGCGGAGGCGGGGTTCTGCCTTGGGTGTGGCC